TCTGTGCTCCATATGCAAACGTTCATCCACATGTTCCTTTCCAAAGCACCCCTGGCCCCCAGCACTCTGGGTTCCTCCCACAAAAACTCAAGCTGGTCTTTTTCCAGAAACACAGACTGGACCGTATCAGAGGCGCCTCTATCAACGTCCATGCAGTGGAATGCCTGCGCCATGGGGGACAAACGAAACCACCAGCATGGATTAGGGAGCACCTATCGTCGCCGTAAAGCAAACACTTACACTTGAACTTGCAGCACCACCAGAGCTAGGCGAGGCTCTCGGACATTGAGACGGGTCTCCGTCCTCACCAAGGTCGGACACTGGCCCTCTGGGCCTGCGCACACACTTGCCGATGTGGTTCCCAAGTAAGCCTGCTCTGGCCCCGGGACTTAATCTCCCTCCCTGCCATCAGCAGATTCTCACATCCGTCATTCGGGATTTTGCCTCCCAGGAATGTTGTTGATCTTGCACAGGCTGTTCTAACTCCTCTCTCCAGCCCAGCAAGGCTCACCCCGTCAGGACATCGATCCCATCGTCCAGATCCTCGTCAAGGGGAGGGAGAAGGGAGGTCACTGCCACACATGACGTTGGAGAGCCTGCCTCCTGGGTGCCAAGGCCCTCCTCATACAGTAGTTCACTCCAAGGAGCTGCAATCGCTGATGCTAGGTTCCCACTTGGGAGGCAGTTCAAGATCCTGAAACCTTGTATAGTCGCCACTTCTGGTAACCTGGGCTGACCCCTGTCATTAGACTGAGTCTAGTATGACTTACAGAAACCCTACGAACAACAGGTCCGAGCGCAGACAGCGGGAAAGGACCTTTCACTGACCACACTGTGGATAAGCTGAGCGGCAAAATAAACAAAAACATGTTGATATCATTCTATAAAATCTGCTGAATTGCATATAAAACTGCAAGTCCATACTAATATAAAAAATACAGAAACTACCAAAGTGTTTTACCATAAATAACATGCTTAAGCAAGCTGTGATCCATTCACACCAACAAACAGTATTCAATGATTAAAAGAAACAAATTATTGACACAACAGTCTGGATGATCTCAAGGGGATTTTTTTCCAGGGGGAAAAAGAAGCCAATCCTAGATGGTCACCTACTCTGATGGTTCCACCAAGAACACATTCTGGAAATGACAACATTCTAGAGACAGAGAACAGGTGGCCAGGCATTACGGAGGGTAGAGGGGCAAGGGAGGAGAGTAATTATGAATCAGTAACACCAGAGGGATCTTCATCCCCACAATGATGGAGAAAGCTACAATTATTTTAAAATAAAAAGAGAAATAACGTGGTCAAGGAGAATGGGATATTTAGATTGTTTCAAAGCACCTTCTGATAAAATGTACACATATGTTAGCAATGAAAGAGAAAGAGTAACTGTAGAGAAACAGGGAAGTCGCCAATTTAATAGATAACAGTAACAAGGGAAAATCAGAATTGTGTGCCACCTGGTAAAGTGCAATGAGTAGAAACAGTATCCCTTCGATGGCATTCCTGTCAACTGAGACAGTTCCTCTTTGCAACTGAGGAGGAGATGAACCCAAATCAAGAAACATTCTACAGAAGCACTGACCAGGGATCGTCTAAAGTGTTAAAGTCATGAAAAGGAAAAACCGAGAAAACCGTTCCAGATTGAAGGATATTAAAAAAAACATAACGAAATGCAACTCATGCTTCTCAACTGCATCTTTTTGCATTATCGAGGTGGCTGATGGGTAGAACTTGAACTGGGTTAACAGCAATAATGTAACAATACTGGGGAAATCTGCTTAAGGATCTTCCCAAAGTGCTAATGAGTGATGATATCAGTTTAGAGACTAAGGTACATCTGATTCAGGCTACAGTCTTTGCAATTACTTGCCATGCATCTGAAAGTTGGACAATAAACAAAGATGGCAGAAGAAGAATCAACATCTAAGTTGTGGCACTGGAGGAAAGTATTGAATATACCATGAGAACAACTAAGTCTGTTCTGAAGAGGGTGAAACCAGTTTGCTCCTTGAAGGCAAGAATTTTGACGCTTTGTCTCACATACTCTGGATAGTCGCCTAGAGGGATCAGTCATTGGAAAAGGCCATCATGCTTGGAAGGGTAGAGAGTGAGCAGAGGAGATGACGATCTTGTATGACATGGATTGACAGACTGACCGTGGCAATGGGGACAGAAGTGCCAGAGAGAGTGAGGTTGGATCAGGATAGGACAGAGTTCAGAGCTGTTATTCATAGGGTTGCTAGGAGTCATGGTCAATTTGATGGCACACAACAACAATAATATAATAAGATTCATTTCTTTATTCTGGTGATTTTATTGTTATGGAGGAGAATGTCCATTTATCAGAAATAGCCACAAAATCAATTAGGGTTGATGAAGCCTCAAATTGGCAACTCACCCTCAAATGGTTCAGCAAAGTAAAGTTCTTTATACTATGCTTGCAACTTTTTAAAAGAATTATTATCATCCCAGAATAAATTTTTCATTTAAAAAAAAATAAGTACCTAAGGAGTGGGAGAAGGATGGGCAATCTCCTCCCATGTGACAAAGCTTCTAGAAACCCACAGGAGGGTCAGTGATGAGCTGATCCCAAGTTCATGGGCACATAACAAAACAACACAACCATGAGTGGTGGTTGTGATCCAAGCAAAATGAAGTCATAACAACTTCACTTTGTGTCTAAAAATGATTTAGTCTCCATTTAAATTTATTTACTACAAATGAGCAATTCTGAGGATCAATTAACCTTTAAAATGAGCACCCCAGGCACATCCTGGCCGCTGGTGTCGTGGAGTGCAGAGCAAAGGCTCCTGCGCAACCCTAGCCCTACGAGATGGGCAAGATGATAGGGTCCAGTGGCTCAGCCCACAAGAACATCACGGTGAGACCTACCTGACCAGGACTGGGGAGAGCTCGAGGTAAGATTCTTACCTTAATAACTACTATCATCATCATTAACTCACCCAGCCAGACTCAAGGTTCATATCGAGTTCTCTCTTCACTCACCATGTGCTCAGAGCTGACATGCAATTACTTCAGCTCCCGTGCTTACTCACTGCCATTGAGTCAGAACTGACTCATAGCTGACCCTCCAGCGGGTTTTCAGAGATTGTAAATCACACAGGAGGAGACTGTCCATTCTTTTTTCCTCAAGGAGCAGTTAGTGGACTTGAACTGCCTGTCTTTGGTTTGGCAGCCTAACTCCTTATCCACTAGGACACTGGAGCTCTCTGTTCATGCACTAGTAGTATGACTTCGGTCTCCTAAGGGCTAAATGGAGAAGAAAGGTTTATCTTGAGAGTGGCCAGAAAGTAACAATCGAGACCAAACGCAATGGGACCATCCATCATGGAACAGTAATCCATCAGAGAAGGGCCAAGGCCAGCCAGCCAGCAGGAAGCCTGCACATCTCAAATTGGAACACAGCACTGATAGGAACTAACTCAGAAAACCCTAAACAATTACTGCAAGCAGCACGGAAATATCTATGGCCTTTTATTGATTACTTACTAATCAATACTGCTTTCTCGTAGTGAGTCAAGCAAATTTAATAATTACGGTGTGTTCATGGAAATCCTGATATGCCAGGCACTGTGCTAGAAAACTTGCTGTCATGATGTTATTTGAAATTCATCAGTGTCTTATATACACAGTAGGTACTATACTCATTCTCATTTTAGAGGTGAGTAAACTGAGGATTAGAAAGATTAAGTCGTTTATCTAAGGGTGGCACAGTTAGCAAGTGGGAAAGCTAGTATTGAAACTTCAGACACAGAAGTCCTCATCGTGCAGCTGTTTGAAGCTTTCCCCAAAAAGTATATGGTTGGAAACCACCAGAGGTTCCACACCAATCCCTCTGTGGAAGAGAGATGTAGCACTCTGCATCTGCAAAGAGCACCGCCTTGGAGCCTGTGAGGGGTAGTTGTACTCTACAAGTTAGAACTGACTTACTGGAAACAGTTTTTGGGTTAGTCTGCCCCCACAGCTTACACTCAAGCTACTATTCTAAGCCTCCTTTCACCAGCCATCACTATGGCTTCCCTGGGCTCCCTGCCTTTCACAAAGCAAGCTTGTTAAAACAACACGTGGCTCCCTATTCCCGTGACTGTTTCCTGCCCACTACAATCCTGCGGGAGGGTAGTATGGACTGCGGGCCTCATTTCTAGAATGTAAACCAAGAATCAGAAAACCAAAGCCATTGTCACAAAGTTGATCCTGATTCAGTGACCTGCAGGACAGAACAGGACTGCCTATGGGCTGTAAATCGTCACAAGGTTGTAAATCTTTATGACGTACACAGACTTCTCTTTCTTCCATGGAGCAGCTGGTGGGTTCAAACCACCAACCTTCTAGATAGCAGATGAATGCTCTTATTCATCTTTTAAAGTCCAACCTTCTAGACAGATGTAGAAGGCTCTATCACTTACCTTATCCACGAGCTGCTCCATGGAAGAAGGATGTGCACTCTCCTGTGGGATTTAAGCTTCCGAAACCCGCTGGAGGGTCAACTATGAGTCAGTTCTGTCTCCACGGCAATGGGAACTTTTTATATCCGTTTAGCAAAGATATTAGAGCAGCTCCTTTTTCATTATTTAGAAATAAAGTGGCCAAGAATGCTGCCTTCCAGCCGCCTCTACCACCATGAGGTATATTTATGCATCACAAGCTACTTCTTTTCCCCCACCACCCCAGTTATCACCATGGAGTCCAGAAAAATCTTTTTATATGTTAAGAGTTTTTACATATAAGCTTATGCCTGTTTGGGGTGATTCTGGGGGAGTTTTCTTTGCCTTTGAAATGAATCAAATGTAATCATAAGAATAAATGCTTCCAGACCAGTAAATCTCACCCCGCTACCCCAGACCTCCAAGAGCTGTCACCAAATTATCTTGTTTTAATCGTGTTTTATAATGGAAAATGCTCCCCATCGAGACACACAGTCTATGGGGGGGTTTTATCCATTTGTGTCTATTTAAGAAGGAATACATTACCAGATTCCTGAAGGGGGAGACTGTCATTCCAGTCGCTGACATCATGCTCTGGTGGCCAGGGTATGCTGAGTCACCACTGTCCGCATCTGCCCAGGGCCTCTCCTCTTCCTTCAAGCTTATGTCACAGTCGGTGTGTTGGGAGATGTGTCCCGACAGCTCTCTGACCAAGGAGCTATGTGGTTCAGGATTGCTGCCATAGTTTGGATCACCTGGGACTTGTTTCTGGAAACCATATTTTACTTGTCAGACAATAGGATACTATCATCAGACTCAAGATTTAAATCTATATACTTTCAAGATTTTAAGTGGATCAGTTGTTATGTACCATCGAGTTAGAAATGACGCATAGTTGACCCTCCAGCAGGATTTCAGAGGCAATAACTGGCACGAGAGGAGACTGTGCATCTTTCTCCTGAGGTGCAGTTGGTGGATTTGAAGCCCACACCTTTGGGTTGGCAGCAAAACTGCCTTACCACTAAAGAACCAGTGCTCTCTTACATAGTAAGTTAACATATGGAGAGAGTTGTTATTCAGTAGACCTCCGCCTTAAGATGTGACCTTATGATGTTCTGTATTGATCAACTACATCAACAGGACTATGACAAGGGACAGAACTTGTGATTTATAATGAATGCAAAGCAGAAAAAGAAAAACAAACCAACTTCTGTTAAACAATTAGCATGTAAGAGATAATGAAGGCACCAGTTTAAACATTATGACTATTTTATAACACAACACTAATGTGACCCAGAGGACAATCCATGCTATTCTCCCCGATGTCTCAGGACTAGGACTACCAGACAAGTACAAGGAAAAACCAACTCAACTGCCCACGACCTCTGGATAGGTTTGCCCTCCATTCCTAGAATGAGCCTGTTCCCTTCTCTCTAGGCTATTTCCTTCTCTTCTGCCCTTCATGTAATCGAACAGCCTTCCTTCTTTCAATTCCTCTTTCCTTCCTCAGACTTCCAAGTCGAGCAGGCATGAAGCTTGCCGTTTCCTCTGCTTTGACTCTAAATCTTCACCAGTAACGTTCCCTCGACTCCTTCCAAGTTGACACCCAGATTTCAAGGGCTCTGTGTGGTTCCCTCCCCATCATGGTCTTTCCTCAGCCTCCGCTGTGGCTTCTCACACTACTTTCCAAACTAAACTTCCTGGGGCTTCTTGACATTCTGATTCCATCACAACCCCCTACCTTCTCGCCACCTTCTCCTTTCCGATGGCTCGCCCTTCCTGCTTGCCTCTGTATTTTATCTGCCCTGGTGATTAATGTGTCTTTGTGTCTTCACTTACTATCTCTCCACGCCACAAGCCCACAAAACGTCAACCTGCACCTCCCACCCCCTAAAGGGTACCTCTCAGCCCTGACAAGGGAGGTGACACCATGGTGCTTCGACGTGCAAAGCAGGCTCATTATTACCCCTGGTCCTTTGAATGGTCACCTGCCCTGTCTGAATGGTAACATCAGGTCTCTGCTCAACTTTCAAGCGGTCACAGTCCTCCAAGGATGGCCTACAAGAGAGTATCTTTAGAGAAAGAGGTGCCTCTCCCCATGTCCTGTCTGACATGCGCCAACTGAGTGGAAACAGCACCGCCGTGTGCTTTACCGGCAGTTCTCCTCTTTATGGCCCAGCCAGGGTCTATCTATTGAAGACCCAGTCACTAGGGTCCCAGTGTCCCTTGAACAGGTTTACTGAGAGTGTGGAGATGGTCACAAACTTGACTCGAAATCTTCCACAGATGTGGTTCAAATCCCAACCCTGACGTCTCAACCATCTACGGCCTTTACTTCTGTTTGGTTACATCTCTTAGAACATGAGGGGTCAGAGAGCTCAGCGGGTCATGACCCATCACTGGAAAGTTTGTGTACATCACTTCTCAAGTGCCTAAGAAAGAGAAAAGTTTAATAAACCATGAACCTGCATTTGAAATTCTTAAACTTTTACCTCGGAATCTTTGGCGTCTTCCAAAACATCACTGAGAACCTGTATGTACTCCGTGGCTCCTTTAAGGATATCGACTTTGCTGGGCTTCCTGCTTTGTGGAAGGAAGGGTACAAGGGCCTTCAGTTTGGCAAAACCATGATTCAGGTTTTTTATCTGAGAGAGAGAGAGAGAGAAAATGTTCTGTGACACCAAGCAGCTCGTTTGCACAGACATCCCGCCCCACCACGGAGAGGGCTGGGGGGCTCATGCCAAGCAGCCAAGGGGCCATTCTGCACTGGCTCACACACAGACCTGTTGTTCCCCTGACAGAGCCTTCCTAGTAAAAGGACGGGCAGCAAAAGCCTGGCACAGTGGACGGGCGGGCTGCAAGGTGTGTCCACACCTGTCCTGACCTCTCTCCCGCCTCTGATGACTGCATTATCAAGTAGCAGCAGTAAGAGGCAGTGGTTAAAAGCTGAGCCAGCTACCAACCCCAAACCCACGGCCATTCAGGAGCTCTGACTCCCTGGGAGCCTTGAGTGAGGAGCTGAACTGTCCTCCAGGGTTTCCAAGGCCCCAAGTCTTCTAGAAGCAAACCACCCCAGCTTTCTCCTGTAACTCTGCTGGGAGGTTTGAACTGTCAACCTTCTAGTTAGCGGCTGCCTTCTCTAAGCACTGCGTCACCAGATATCCTTGAGACAACTAAACCCAGGGGTGGAACCCCAGCTCCATTCACTATACAAGAGCCTGGAGGATACTTAAAATGTTACCAAACCTCCATTTGTTCAGCTGCAAAGCGGACAACAGTCACTTCCTGTAGTTTTGTATACACATTAAATACATAAAAAGATTAAGTGAATACATAAAATACGTAAGTAGGTGGTAGGGATGATGATGGTGAATAAGACATACAAGTTCTGTACCATAAGATCTTTCCTAATCAAAGAGACATATTCATGCATATCATGAATATCTATAATTAATGTAAATATATTCATGGACATAGAGCCAATAGTCAGAGCCCAAAGAACCAATATCCTGGTAGACTCGGAAGGTAGAGAGTAACTGCTCAGCTTTGTCTTTTGTTTGTTGACCAGACAGGCCAGAGGCCCCGGGCAGCCGTCAGCTTGTTCTCCAGGGTCTGACCTCGAGACCCTGCAGGCCTGAAACTCTGGCAACCGTGTTCTAAGAACACAGACTATAGGAGAACTAACCTCTGAACACCAAAAAGCCAACAGACTCCCTTATCTGCCCCAGAGCAAAGTGGAAAATGGACCATCAGTTCATGACATTGTTGTTTTGTGCTGTGAAGCTGCTAGAGACTCACAGCTGACCCTTGAGTGGGTTTTCAGAGGTGACAGGGAGAAGACTGTCCATCCTTCTCCGTCAGAGCAACTGGTGGATTCAAACTGCCTGCCTTTGGGTTGGCAGCATAACTCACCCACCCACTAGGCCACCAGACCTCCCTAGACAAGAACGTAGTGGTCAACAAATGTGTTGTTGTTGTTATGTGCCGTCGAGTCGCCTGGGACTCACAGCGACCCTATGTACAACAGCCCTAAATTCTGCTCTGTCCTGTGCCAATTGCACTGCCTCTGACACGCCCATCCCGATTACCCCAGTCACTGAATCAATCCACCTCATAGAGGGCCTTCCCCTCCTGCACTATCCCTCCACCCTCCCAAGCATGATGTCCCTCTCCAAGGACCTGTCCCTCCTTACAACATGTCCAAAGTATGTCAGACGAAGCCTCATAATCCTTGCCTCCAAGGAGCTGCCCAGTTTAACCCTTTCCAGGATGAATCTGTTTGTTTTCCTAGCAGTCCATGGTATTCTCAATACTCTTCTCCAGCACCACAGCTCAAAGGCATCAATTCTCCTTTTATCCTCCCTAGTCATTGTCCAACTCTCTGATACATAACAAGTGATAGCAAAGACCATGGCCTGTATCAGATGCACCTTAGTCTCCAGAGAGACACCATTGCTCTTCAGCACTTTGGAGAGGTCCCTAACAGCAGACTTTCCCATCGCAATACATCTTTTAATTTCCTGGCTACTGGTGCCACGAGTGTTGACTGTGGAGCCAAGCAAACTAAAGCTGTGAACAATTTTTTTTTTGGTACATTTGTTGATTTTTACTATGTTTGTAAAAATCAACAAATGTACAAAAAAAAATAAAAGATATAACGGTCAAAGAACTAAGGATAAAAGAAGCTAAACTTTGCCTGCCAAGCAGTCATATTTTTTATTTGTTCATCAAACCCAGAATTGAGAAGAGCAATAAAAGTTTGCAAACTTTTGAGTGAAAGAATACCAACGAACCATAAAATAATGCACAAGTGAAACACACATGCACATTTAAAAATAAAAAGATAAAACATTAAAAATAAAAATTTAGGCTGTTTCCAACTCCTTGCTATTGTGAACAAAGCTGCAATAAACAAGGAACTCATGAAATATTACTCAAAATGGTTAACTCTGGAGAACATTATGCTGAGTGAAATGTCCCAGTCACAAAGGGACAAATATTGCATGGTGCCACTGTTGTAAAATGGGACTGTCCTTGGGGT